CTGACTTTAACACTCCTCCTCATCAGCGACTTCTCTATTCACGAGTCCAAGCTAACTTCGAAATTCTGTAAACTTTAAAGTACTTCTTTGGTGAATATGTCAGCTATTTGTTCGTTTGTCCTAATTATTTTTATTACGATCTCCTCTTGAAGAACTTTCTCTCAAAGAAAGTGATGATGTATTTCGATGTGCTTCGTCCTAGCATGAAAAACTAGATTATCTGCCAATCGTATTGATTATCGTAATGTAATGCTACTGAGTAGTCTGTAGACTGATGTAGATCTCTCATTAACTGAAAAAGCCACGTGCTTTCCTGAGCTGTCATCGCTGTTATCTGTACTATGCCTATGTAGTTGACAATAACACCGTTGATTATCTTTTGTTATACCAAGATATAGCTGCTAAATCGAACTAAACACGTATCTGGTAGTAGCCCTTCGAGTGTCATGATCTCCAGCATAGTCAGCATCACAATAGCCATAGACCTCACATTCTTCTCCTTTCGAGTGTCATGATCTCCAGCATAGTCAGCATCACAATAGCCATAGACCTCACATTCTTCTCCTTTCTTATACATGAGACCATAGTTAATCAGCATCACAATAGCCATAGACCTCACATTCTTCTCCTTTCTTATACATGAGACCATAGTTAATTGTACTCTTAATGTACCTTAGGATCATTCGGATTTCTTCTAAGTGAGGTTTCTTTGGCTTTTGCATGTATTGGCTAATGACACCAACCGCAAATAAAATATTCGATCTTGTCATTGTTAGATAGATTAAGCTTCTAACTAGCTGTCGATACATAGTTGGATTTTCCAAATCTTTTCCTTCATGTGCACACAATCTCAGATTTGTCTCCATCAGTGTTAAGATTGACTTGCTGCTGAACATCTCGTACCCGAGCAGCATGTCCTTCGCATATTTTTCTTGACAAAGGAATAGTCCATCCTTCCTTCTATCGACCTCCAATCCGAAGAAATGCTTGAGCTCCCCAAGCTCCTTCATTTGAAACCTAACCGAGAAATTTGTCCCCGTTCTTTGGATTTTCACTTCATCATCTCCATTTAAGATTAAATCATCCACATAGACCAACACGATTGTTAGCCTATTGCCAGTCTGTTTGATGAATAAGCTAGAATCTGCAGGAGAAAGAGAGTATCCACTTTGAATTAAGAACTCACCAATCTTGCCATACCAAGCTCTCGGAGCTTGCTTCAGTCCGTAGAGAGCTTTCTTTAGTTTGCAAACATATCTTTCCATTTCCTTGCTCTCAAATCTGATAGGTTGTTCCATGTAAATCTCTCGATCCTCCTCACCTGTAGAAATATATTCTTCATGTCCATCTTGAAGAAACTGCGATGCATTTTGATCAGAACAGGTTTTGGATAACGCAGGAGTCTATTTGGGTGCTGCGCGGTCGACCGTGTTGGCCTTCTTGTTTTGATGATGTTTAACAAACAATTTACCACTAATGTTGTTTGTCTAGTATTTGTGTTTTCTTATTTATTATAGACAAACAACGTAGTTGGAGGATGGATGGATTAAGCCTACACGATCATATCAAGAGGAGGTTGGCAGAATTGTGGAGTGAAGCATTGTACAATTCAAGTTCAAGATCCAAGTTTAGCTTCATCCGCAACGTATACCAAGTTGAGCTCAATGAAGATCAAGATCAAGCTTGGGTAATTTAGTTTAGGATTTATATTATGTGTGTTAAGTACGTTAAGCTCAATATATATACACACACATTTATTGGTTTCTTCGTATATATACATAGTTATATATATATACATAAGTTTTTGGTTTCTATGCATATATATAGTTATATATATACATACATGTGTTTTGGTTTTTATGATATTACATATTTCATACTCTATTGTGTTTTAGTACTTACTGCATAGAATATGTAATTTTGTGAAAGTATTGTCTTATTAGTTCATAGACTTCAATATCAGTTTATACATGTTTTATTAAGTCTATAAAAATATT